GCCGGGGCGGGCAGGCGGGCTGCGCCCCGGGCAGCGCGAGGCTCCCGGCGTCTCCGCCGCGTTCGCGCGCCGGGCGGCTGCGGGCGCGCGGAGGGCCAATGGGAGGCGCCCTCCCCCGCCCAGGCCGCCGATTGGCTGCGGCGCGCGGGGGCTCGCCAATAAAAGCGCGGAGCGGCGGGCGCTGCCGTCAGAGCGCGGCCCGCGAGCGCCTGGGTGTGCAGCGCCGCAGTGGGAGGGGCGGGGGCCTGTGCGTGCGGGCGGCATCCTGACCTCTTGCGCCTCTTTTGCGATCCCCCGCGACAGCCTTGCAAGGTAGGCGCAGGAGCGCCCCGGTGGAGGCGCCTAGGCGAGCTGCAGGCGAAGCGCGCGTGGGGGTAGAAAGGCTGCCAAGCACCGTTCCCGCGGGGCACCCGGGGTGCGGGCTGGAGCGCAGCGCAGCGCCCGGCTGGACTCGTCCGACGCCGGGCAGGCGCTTCTCAGGTCTGAGAGAGCCGCTTGTGGACCGAGTGGGACGGGAAGGATGGCGCGGACGGGCAAAGCCAAACCGCACCGCGGACGAGACGTAACGGGCTAAATGCACGCAAATAGTACAGATCTGGGGAACGATTTAGAAAGACCCATAACACCGGCGGCACCGTCAGGCGGGACAAGCGCCTCGCTGCGCCCTGGGCACGCACGCGCATGTTCGCTCAGAAGGCGCTCCCGCGGAGCTCGGCGGGCTTGCTCACAAGGAGGCGAGCAGGAGCTGCCCCGATGTGCCGAATCGGCACTGGCTGTGCAGCAGCCAGTCCAGCGATGCGGCTCGCAGCCCTCCCCAAGTCGGGGATGATGGTAGTTGAATTCGAGACAGAGAGAGGACACCAGGTCAGGGAAGCTGCCCTGGTCCTAAGATTTGTTCTTGTAAGCCCTCCGGAGAGGGCTTATAGTGGACAGTCTATAAAGGCTTTTAATAAATACATAAAATCAATTTGTGTGTGCTTGGCTGAAAAAGATGCTCGCGAGTCCCCGCATGGCCTCGCCGACTACCTAGCAGGGCTGTTGTGAGCCACCCAGAGAGCTAAACCTCTTTGCCTTTCCCTCTCCCCTCTTGGCAGGTCGCTCTGCTCCCGCTCGGCTCGACTCTCCAGACGCTGCCGCAATGTGGTTTTTGGACAAAGTGCGGGCACCCGCCAGAGATGCCAGCCCGCCGGGCGCTTCGCTCCTGGGCGCGCCCCCCGCATCCCCCGTGCCGGACAAAGGCAAGGCGGCGGGCGCCCCGGCAGCGGCCTTCGCCAACGTCTTGACCCCGGACAGGATCCCGGAGTTCTGCATCCCGCCCAGGCTGGCCAGCCTGCCCCAGGCCAAGAGCCCCCACCCGGCCTTCCAGCCCCGCCGCTGCCTCACGGAGCCCGGCTTGCAGGAGGCCGCTGCGTCCGCGGCGGGCGGCAGCCCCAGCCCGCCCCTGCCGCACCTCATCCAGGTGGAGAGCGTGGAGCTCGCCGACGAGCTGGACGAGGAGGGCACCGACGCCGACCCCCGGTCGCGGGCAGCCCTGTCCCTGCCGCACTTCCCCAAGGCGCACACCTCCTACGGCTTCTGCACCCTGCTGGAGAGCCCGCACACGCGGCGGAAGGAGTCCATCTTCCACAGCGGCTCCCTGCCCAGCCTCGCCGCCCCGCGGCCCCGGGCCAGCAGCTACGGCGGCAGGGAGGGCTCCGCCGGCCCCGGCGCGGCCCCCGGCGCGGCCCGGGCGCGGCGCCCGCTCCTCGGCCGCCGGGGCGCCTGGGAGAGCAGCGACACCGGCTCCTCCACCGAGTCCTCGCCCTTCGGCTCGCCGCGCCTGGGCCGCTCGCCGCCGCGGCTCGGCGCGCTCTTCAAGGCGCACAGCCAGGACGGGCCGCTCTGCAGGGCGCTGCGGGGCCGCGGCCGCGCCGGCTCCCTGTCCATGGACGAGGCCAGCTCCGCCGACAGCAGCCCCAGCGCCACGCGGCGCTCCTCCGAGGCGCTCCTGGACGCGCCGCCCGGCCGCGCCTACGGCCTGGCGCCGCTGCCCGGCCTCCTGCGGGACCTGCCCGGCGGGCGCGAGAGGCTGGGCCGCGACGGCGCCGTGCTGCTGGACAAGGGCGGGCTGCTGCGGCTCTCCTGCGAGTACTGCCCGGACAACCGGCGCCTGCGCCTGCGCCTCATCAGCGCCGAGGGGCTGTACCAGGCCTCGGCCGAGCCGCGCGCCATCAACTGCTGCGTCTCCTTCGCGCTCATGCCGGGCAAGGCGCAGAAGCAGCGCAGCACCGTCATCAAGCACAGCCGCAACCCCATCTTCAACGAGGACTTCTTCTTCCTGGGCATCTCGGAGGACGACGTGTACAGCCTCTCCGTGCGCATGAAGGCCGTCAACAAGGGCTGCAGCATGAAGCGGGACCTGCTCCTGGGCGAAAGCCACGTGGCCCTGGTGACGCTGCTGGCGGCCTGAGCTCGAGCTCCGGGCCAGGGACACTGTTCACTTATTTATTTATTCCGTTTGGGGAGCGTGTGCACCCGTTTTTAATAAACAGTGCTTTCATCCGGCATGCGAATGGCTCTTGTGATGTCTGTGAGGTCAGCCAGTGAGCGGGTTGTGGGCCATCGGTCAGCCTTCCCGCACCTGATGCTTCCCGATGTGCTGGACTACAACTCCTGGCTTCCCCTCGCCAACCCGCAGTGCCCGATGCAGTTATTCAATAATTACATCGGGGGAAAAAAGACTCACACTGCCCTTGCGGTCTTGCACACGTCCACACAGACACAAGGCCTGTAGGGCCGAGTTGCATATTCCATTTCCTAAAAACCCTCTAGGCCAGTCTTCATCCCAAGGGATCCCGCAGCAGCGTACATTCTTTAAAATGGGGAGGGAAGCTTCTGGCTCTCTGGGCCAACAACTCCCATCAGTCCTGGTGAACCAAGCACATGCTATCAAAGCAATATATAGCAAGGGGACCAGTGCAGGAAAATGGAGACGCGCTGCTATCCCAGGGAAGAGTACACCTTCGCATGACATTCCCTGGACAATTGAAAGCATATTGACTGGTTGCCAAAAGGGGGATAGTGCTGGGGCCTTCATGAGCCAGGGTGCCACCACGGAAAAGGCCCTGTCTTTGGTAGAAGATGGAGCCCGGAAAGCAGGGCAATTTCTGACCTTTTTGCACCAGCGGGATGGTATGGGGTGGCACTCCTCCAGGTATTCGGGTTCCAAGGTGCTTCAGGCACGAAAGCAACACCTTACATGGGGGTTGGTAGCACACAGGGTCCTTTGTAATTTCTTTCAAAGCAGTGCACCTAGGAAAACTGCCCAGAATGGTACCAGTTGAATTCCAAACGTCAGGAGCCTCCAGGCAGTTTTCAAGGACTGTTCGGTGCAGGACGTGGAACACCCATTCAATCTGGGGGTTATCAGTGTGTGGATGACTCCTTGGGAAGCATGTAGAGGGTGACAACCTCAATATTTGCATTTTTCTCCTGAACATCTGAAACGATTTATGTCTGGCTTCCCCAATCTGCCATCTCCAGATGCATTGGGACTATGACTTCCATCATCCCCAGCCAGCACAGCCATCAAGGAAGGCTGCTTTACGGTATTGCCCTGCACAATAATTCAGGTATCCTTGTATTTTAGACCAGGGCAGTGAGGTTAGTCTGAGTGTCCAGATAGGCATGGGAGTCCTGGGTTCAAATCCTCATGGAATTCCTGGATTTAAGGCCAGTCTGTCTCTCAGCCCAAGCAACCTCAAAGGGTTGTTGTGAGGACACAACTGGGTGGGAAGGAAGGATGGTGTTCATGTGAGAAATTCAATACATGTCTATTCAAGTAGAGCCAGTCTGATCACAGTGGGAAGCCTGCATAAGATTAGCCCAAAAGGGACGTGGCTTCCCTGCTCATGAGCTCACAGGAAATCTGGAACCTGAACTGGTGACTTTGTGGCTAGCAGCTCCAACCTCTTCATCTGTGCCGGAGTCCAGATGTCTTCACTGGCACAGAACCATCCGTGCACGAAGTGCGTTGTTTTGTAGAGCAATTTAAGCAAACGGGACAGTAAAACTGGGTTGATGACTAATTGCCATCCGCTAAAAGCATTTGACCCAGAGGAACGTTGCAGCTCCTTCCAAGTAGGCCAGGCCATTCTCAGAACAGGCCAGGTTGGCCTGGTTCTACAAAGAAGGGCCTTGCAAAGGCCAGTGACAAAAGGCATAGACTAGGTAAGAATACCGGCCTTAGGGAATCTGGCTTCCGCAAAATGTCAAAAAATTCTGGTCGTGATTGCGAGCTGGCTTGTTATAATGCCATATAGAAACATAGAAACAGAGCGAGTCAGAAGGGGCCTCCCAGGCCATCTAGTCTGACCCCCGGCTCCGCTCATGACATGCCCGCCATTGCGGGTCTTTCTTTTACCTTAAGTGAGATTTGTATTGTTGCAACTGCTACTGTTGGGATCAGTTGCTGAAGCAAAGACTTTTGGAACCAAATAAGCCAGTGAATTGCTTGCTTCCCTTTCTTCACAGCAATCAGGAGCTCATGTCCTGCAGGGTAACAGTTAAGGAAATCTATCGGCCCCGAAAGAGCTCTCATCCTGCGATGGTGGCAAAGACATTAAATCTGTCTTCACAATATCCTCATTTCTGTTTTCCCAGAGGACCTAACAATGCTTCTTTTGAGCAAAGATTATGGCTCTTCCTGAAAAATTGTTTCCGACTTTCCTGTTGGAGAGTTGTGCCAAGAAGTGTGTTCCAAAGGTGGATTTCGAGGAGGGCTGGGAAAGGAGGAAGTGGGACGGAGCGGTATCCAACACACAGGGCTGCAGTGTTTTGTCCAGTCCCTCGCTGAGCGAATTAAGACAAGGGACAAAACAAGAAGAGTTCAGGGCAGACAGGCACTGGGTCTATCTGTTAGGTGCCATCAAGTTGTCTCCACCTATGGTGACCTATGGGGACCCATGCTTGAGAGCTCTCGAAAATGTGCTGTCCATGACTGGCCCATTCCCCTCTTCCAGGTGCAAGGCTGTGGTTTCCTGTACGGAGTCCACCTAGCTCATATTTTGTCTTCTCTTTCCTCTTCTGACTTTCCCCAACTTGATTGCCTTCTCCAGGGAGTATGTTAGAAAATGTGTGCAGGGTGTATTGGAGGAAGCAACATCGTTCTGGGATCCCATCTAGACAGTTGAAAGCAACATAGTTTTGGGATCTCGTCTAGAGTCGAAAGCTCTTCTTGTCTGTATTGGGCTTTTGGCGGCCTTATTTTGGTGTTACGGCATAACTTCGGCTCACTTAGTCCTGACAGTGCGCAAGCTTGCCCAGCTCCGTGGGTGAAAAGCAAAAGGCCTGCTTTGAACAACGCAAGGAAATTCGGAGGGACGGAGGAGGTGGGTGCTTCCAGCTTCATGCCTGTGGGTGATGGAAGCTCCTCAGTGCAAGCCCTTCTATAACCGATCATTGTTATTTTTGCTGTTTGCTTTGAAACAGTTCAAGGGAAAATAGTGGCAATTGTAGCACAGAAAAGTTTCAGCGGACCCAAACCAAGGAAGGGGCAAGACAGTCAGTGGCTGGGGCTGCTAAGCCTCATTAGCTGAACCGGTGCATTTTTCAGCTGTACATGCCACATTTTTCTTGCATATATTTAAAAAATCTTAAGTGTGGACTTGAAGGCCAATGTGGTCTCATGGTTAGGGGCTTGCACTGGGACTTGGGCAACCCAAGTTCTAATCCCGACTTGGCTCACCGGGAGACTTTAGGCCAGTCGCTGACTCTCTACCTAGCCTACCTCACAGGGTTGTGAGGTTAAAATGGAGGAGGAGATCTCTAGAAGCTGTGTTGGGTTTCCTGCAGGAAAGAGGGTGCTATAAATATAGTAATATTGTTTAATGTATATAATGAAAACTATGTGGAATCTCGGGGATGGGACTGGGCAACTGGTCTCCCTCAGTAACCCCAGCCGCCTCTTCAGAGATGCTCACAAAAGAATCCAGGTGGGATCCCTGCACAGCTTTGATGAGGTGTGAGGTCGGCTGGTCCAGTAAAAGCCCGCTGGCTCGTGTCGACCACCTGTGCTGCTCCAGAGCATGTCAACACCAGTTGCCCTGGCCGAAAAGGCACGTGAACAGGTGAAGGGACTGTTCCACGTGTGTTTTTTCCTTCTTGACTCTCCAGGACGATAACCAGACTTTCAACCTGGGCCAAGAGCAATCGGCTTGTGTACAGAACCAAATCTCCACTGCCATTTGAAAACATTAATGTTACATAATAGGCCGTAAAAAAGCCTGTGTCTATATAGCGAACTGTAGCTGCTTTTAACGGCACCCCCTCCCTTCCCCACGGCTCAGCCAGTGGCTTCACACAGACACAGAGCTCCGCAGGGATGCCTGGTGCAGGGAAGGGCCAAGGGCCAACACGCCTCCGACATGGGTGTGCAGCTGATGCGCGCTTTGTGGGTAGGTCCTGAGGGCATGGACGGGGTGCTGCTGTTCTCCTCGAGTCAGGGGCCTGGCAGAAAGAGGAGAGTGCGAAGCGTGTTGATGCGGAATTTCCCGTGTGCCTTTTGTGTCCTGGGCTCCTGCTGCGTTTCCCAGAAAAACAAGGAAAAGGGCAGCCTGACAAACAAATACTCCTGTGTGAAGACGGAGCGGGAAGCCACTGCGGTTGTTGTTGCCAGGCTACTAATGACAGTCCAGGGGACTGGGCGAGGCCTGAGCTGGCTGGAGGCACTGCAGGTGGAAAGGGGGTCCAGGAAGACGGAGGAGCAGCAGAAGCAGGGGCGCACGGAGGAGCTGCTGCATCTCAGGGGCAAAGCTCTGGGGTGTCTCTGGGCCGGAGGGAGGCCAGGAACTGGTGGCTCGGGCTGATGCCGGAGGGGTGCCCCCTTGCCCACATGGATACTGACTCACAGACCCAGCTCCCGTGAGCTGAGCAAGCTCAGGCTGTTGTGCCAGAAACCCAGGACATGTCAACACCGCCTGACACGCCTCGGTCTGTTGGCACCAGGCGGCTTCTCCGGCCTCCAGGCTTCCTTTCCTCGGCTCTTCCCTTGGCCTGGCCTGGATGAAGGTGCACAAACAGAGTCTGCCCATGTCGTCATCCCTCAGGCCTGTGGTTCAGCACCCGCCTCAGAGTCAAGGCCTTTTCCCTTCTCGAGGCCACCAGCTGGATGGCTTTGCCCCCTCCACCTCTGTTCCAGCCATCCTCCAAGTTGCTCGGGGCTTCCCACAAGGCTCTGCTCCACCCCACCCGTGGATGCCTCCTGCAGTCTTGCAAGGGGGGTTTGGCTGAGGAAGAGTGTCTGCTCCCCGTCACCCATGGGGCTTCAGAGCAGGTGGGGGCCTGAACCCCGGCCCACTCCCTCATTCCAGGACTGACCTTGCAGCCGGGGCAGCGATCTCTTGGGGCCCGTGAGCCCGTCAGGCACCTGAGAGTGGTTCTTGCGCATCACCATGAAAAGGCTGCTGTGGGAGAGGTGTCCGCAGGGCCGCGTTGGGAGCTGAGCTCCAGCATGCTAAACTGCTTTGAATCTGCAGGCCCCGTTGCCAGAAGAAACTTAAGCAAAA